TTCTTAAGCTGTGGTTCTGGAGAATATCCAATTTCTGGACCAACTTATCATTTGATGCGTAGCAAAGGAAACCATATTCGAAGTGACTGCGGACTAAAGACTTATACAAATTCAATAGTATTTTGGGATCTGAACCCCAATAGGTTGATGATAATGATTTTAAAATATTTAATGCCTTTGAAGCTCGTGCGGTAATGTGCTCGACATATTTATTCCAGGACATGTTTTTCATAAAAGTAACACCTAAAAATCTTACGGAGTCTACAAAAGATAACTCTAAATTATTATAAAAAAGTTTGTAATGTTTTCTTTTAATGCCCACTCCATTAAAAATAACTACTTTGGTCTTATCAGCATTTATGTCTAAGTTTAAATATTTGAAATAATTATTTAATTTACTTAAAGCAAGATTTAATTTGTTTATAGTCAATTGTAAATCTGAGCCTGAGGAATAAACCACAAGATCATCAGCATATTGCAAGTTGCTTACTTCTGAACCCAAAACATAGTTGAGCTTGTTTATATACAACAGAAACACTAAAGGGCTTAATATCCCACCTTGACATACACCTTTAAAAGACTCTCTGGGGCCAATCAGATAATTTTTAACCTTGGCATAAACTTCTCGTCCATGCGAAAACTTAAAAATCCATAGTACGATTTTTTTAGGTAATCCTAGCAACATTAACTCTTTTGACAGTATGTGAAGATTGACATTATTAAACGCACCGATGATATCGAAAAAAATTGCGAACAATGTATTGTGCTGTTTAAAAGAATGAAAAATATCTAATTGAAGATGAGTTATACTCTCTCTAGCAGATCTACCTTTTCTAAAACCAAACTGGTTGGAGGGTAATATATTATTATGTTCTATATAGAATTCTAATCTCTGTTTTAAAAGTTGTTCAAATATTTTCCCCATACAAGATGTCAAAGTTATTGGCCTGTATGATTCATAATTATCCTTATCCTTATCTGGTTTAAGTGCAGGGATGAGACAATCTGTTTTCCACTGTGTTGGTATTAAATCTGTAGCCCATAGAGAATTATAAATATTCAGTATTACTTTTCTAGAATCTATACTGGCATACTTTAGCATCTTGTATGGAATACCGTCAAGTCCGCAAGCTGTATCTCTCCGTGAAGATATCGCTGCATTAAACTCCCCTAGTGTAAACTGGTTTGTTAAGTATTCAGAGTGAGAAGCTGGTACAGACTGTTCAATTAAATTCAATGGAGACTCAACGGTGTCTGGTGTATATTTTTTAAGAAAATTATTGATCAAGTCTATGTTGGTTATGACATTAGTGCTTTTGGGTTTCTTATTAAATTTTCTCATCATAGACCAGATATATGATAAAGGAGTTGTTCTGTTGAATGTTTCAGTTAGAGAATACCAGCTCAATTTTCTCTCATTATTTAAAATCAGTTTCCTTTGTGCCTGTTTTTGTTTAAAAGTCAAGTAATTTACTTCACTTGGATCTGCTTTAAAATTTAAGTATGCTTGTTTGACATCTTTTACAGCATTTGCACAGTTTTGATTCCACCAAGCTAAAGGTATTCTTTGTTTTTTAGGTTTTGTCAAGGAGTGATATATATGTGAAGGTGCACACTTGTGTTGAATTAAAGTAGATTGTTCTGCAGCTACATTAATAATGGCAGTTAATTCTGAATATGACTTTAATGGATTGGAAAGGTCGAAGTTATGGTTTGACATCAAACTATCTAACACCTTTGTATATTTTTTAAAATCAATGTTTCTACTACTTAAATGATGAGGAAAAGGTATATTGTTTTGATAATTAGGTACAGAATCATGGGAATTGTCATTAATTAATAATTTTGTTATTACAGGTAAATGAAAGCTACCAAGTGGGTCATCAGTTACTATCCAGTCAGAATTAAGAGCCAAAGAAGGCGAAACAATGGTTAAGTCCAAGGCATTGGGCTGCCAAATGTGTGAGCCAACAGTTGTAGGATGTCCATTATTAAGTATGACCAAACCATTTTCATCTGAACTTTCATAGATGTCACGACCCCTAGCATCGATAGATGAACATCCCCAAAGCAGGTGGTGAGCATTAAAGTCACCTGCTAGAAATATTGGTTCCGGAATATTACGGATGAGATTATTTAACTTTTTCTTTGAAAACTGAAGAGTGCAATTACCTGGACTATATAGACTTATTATAGATAATTCTTTATTACAATATTTTAATCTAATAGCAATATTTTGAAGTGAATCATCATATTTTGTTTGTATACTAGTGTAATTTAATTTATTGTGAATTAGTATGGCTACACCATTATGAGTGTTGCCTGAATCTAACCTAACCAAGTTATATTCTTTAAATCTTATTTTGTGATGTGGTTTTAGCCACGTTTCACAAATTACTGCAATGTGAATATTGTTCTCATATAAAAATTGTGAAAAAATATGTCTATGGCACATTAAGCTCTGAGCATTCCATTGAACTATGTTCAGACTGTCCATTAGTGTAATATGTTATTTTGTTTTTCTACATTAAATGTCTCTATGAGAATATCTTTGATGGATTTTGAATTGATTTCTTTTTGATTCAATTTATTGAGGGATATTAATTTAACTATTGAATTTAATAAAATGTCTAAAATTTTTTCTGAGTTTAATAGGGAAATAAATTGATCAGTTTGTGAAACTTTTCTATGTAGGGAGGGAAATGACTTTTCATTTACTACTGCGAAATATGCTCTCTTTTGAAACAAATCTGTGTTTTGTTTTAATTTTTGTATTTTTACTGGACACTCCTTCGATATAGCTATATGCCGACCCTGACAATGTATGCAGGTAGCGTCTTTAGTGTCTATCGTACATGTTTTGAAGTTGTGGTTGCCTCCACATACTGAGCATCTTTCTGAGTTCTTACAAAATTTGCCAATGTGACCATACCTGAGGCACCGTAGGCATTGCTTCACTGGTGGGATGTAGGGTTTTACATCAAAACGCCAACTGTTGAGGTCTATGGATTCTGGCAGGACTGGGCAGGAAAAGGTAATGGACACGGTTAGGGTAGGAGTAATCTGAAAATCATTGTCAACTTTATTTCGTCTCATAAAACGTCTTATTTGTACTATGTGTTTTGTACTGGAGATGGTGTCATATATTTCTTGGTTCGATAGATTGATTGGAACGTGTGAGATGACTCCTGTCACCTCTGTGGCTCCTGCAGGAATTGTCGCTTTCATTTTATATGAATCCAAATATTTGGTGTTTGTGAGGGCAGCATTAGCAAACGAAGCTCGCTCAAATATGACTCCTATTTTATATTTGTTAATTCTTACCAATTGCTTAACTCCCTTATTATACCTTTTTAGGGAAGTGGACATACCCATCATGTCCCTGTCGCCTATCGGTTTTCCGGGATCTGTGGACTCAAAAAATACTATATATTCGAAGTTACCCCCATTTTCAGGGTAACTACGTGTATAGTTCAGTACTCTGAAAGGTTCGTATTTATTTGCAGCGGTACTGGTGGAGGATATGGAGTCGTTGTCCGAATCTGTGTTTTGTCGGCTTTCTTCTTCTCCGTCTTTTCCCTTCTTCCTCTTACGCTTCCCCATCGCAAAGCCGTTTGAAGAAAGTTATTTAACGAACAATATATAATTTTAAAAATTTATAATAAAAAATCGCGTCGTTCAGGTCGAAGTTTCCCGCGCTTTTTTCCGGAGTTTACAATTTTACTGTGACATATATGTTTTTTTTTTTTTTCTTTTTTTTCTTTTTTGGCCTTTCGCGGTCAGCGTTGAAGCCAATGACAAGATAAATTAACTTCATTTAAAAACAGGGAAACCTTTTCGTATGTTAAGGAATTTTGGAAACGGATTTAGGAAAAAAACGGATCGGGAGAGGAATTTCATGTTAGGAAATTTGTAGAACAGACAATAAATAATAATAATAATATTATATTAATGATATAAGAACTGTCTAAAGTTTTATATTGTTTTCTACAATAAAGTTACATAAATGCTTATAAATATGTGAATCATTACATGATAACAGTACCGAAATGGACGTAGGAAGAGGTATACCTGATTGCATAACGTTTTGGAAGAGAAAGGAATAATCATATTTAGGGCAGTTTGAAAATATGTGATCCAAATCTCCAACTTGGCCACATTCGCATAAATCACTATTAACGATGTTCAATTTCGCAAGGTGTGCAGGAGTACAAACATGACCCAACCGCATACGAATCAAAACAGATGTAGTCAATCTATTAAATTTAAGTGATGAAAACCATGGTTTTACAGGAATGGAAGGTTGAATGTAAGCATAAGATTTACCTTTTAATTTACTGCTTTCAGACCACATCACACCCCAATCATGTCTAAGGAAATGTATAGGAAGGGTTGCCAAATCGTGATTATAATTTTTATAGTACGCCGTGTCCCCGTCAACAGCAGCATCATTTGCGAGCTGATCAGCACGATCATTTCCATGAATACCAGAATGACTCGGTATCCAGGAGAAAACTACAGACAAGCCTTTCGAAGAGCAAGCTAACAACAAATTTCTAATTTCGAGTATAATTGGACAAAGCATTCGCGTTTTAAAAGGAAATCTAGACAGTGCCTGAAGAGCACTCATAGAGTCGGAAAAAATTACAGTATTTCTTAGCTTAGCTAGACATATATGTTATATCGAATAAATACTATTTTTTAGGCGCCTTGACGTCGAGTTGCGGACACTAGCCCGTTACACCAAGTACCAAGTACTATTTTTTAACAGAAATTGAATAAGTATAGTATAGGGAATGAAACTATTTTTCCGGATTTAAATCGCGTATATTTGTTTTTTCAAACAAACCAACGTTTCGGGCCCTTTACAGGTCCCATGGTCACGGTTGACTGAGGTGGTACAGTCATCAACCAGTTATGTCTACTATTAATGCAAACCCTTACTATAGTTACAAATACCTTATTTTTAATTTTACAAAGAACATTCTAATTTACGCTATATGTTTTACAAATGATTTTATTTTAACAATTAGTATGAAATTTATGAAATTAAATTTATTATTAATTAATAATGGAAATTAGAATAAATTAAAACATATTAATTAGTACTGCAGTCTTATGTCTGTTTGAGATTTTTTATTAGAGGAAATACTGGATCCCAAACTGGTGGTACGGAGAAACCATCTTCCCTGTTAAAATTAGGATGTTTTTTAATTTCAATGGCCTCTCGCAGCATCCTGGGTAGATAACGGACTTCTTTTGCAAGGACCTGGGGTTTGTCAAACTTAAGTGATGGTGTAGATTTATCCATGACAAGCTCGCAGACTGCAGACTGTTTACGCGACGGTGTTTGACATCAGCTATATGTTTTTTGACGCGAGTACATATTACATCGCTTCGGTTGTAATGTAAGAATGTCATATGTGTGACAATCGCGAAAACCCAAGTACGCGATAAGATAATCTCAGTACAGAGTACTAAAAAAACCGACCTCAAAAGTACGTGGAATTACGTCTATTTGCTAAGTTTAATTGAAATATTCCCTAGTTCGCCACTATACAGGACTTGATACTGGAGATAATAAAAATAGGTTCTCACTACGACACTACTCAAAGTATATCGAGAGAAAAACGCCTTGAATTGGAGAAATAGCAAAATAAACTAAATAATTGCTAAAAGTAATTGTTCCTAAATTAAAGTCAGGCGCTATTTATAAAAATGAATCTTCATGCGTGAACAGCCACTGTTGAGGTAGATGATTTTCTTCAAAATGAAATGGGACCACTATGGAAATACCCCCTTTCCAACAAAAAAAGAATCATGAACATCTGTTCACAAATACCGGAGTTATCGCGTTACATACATACAAAAAAAAACAAAAAAAAAACAAAAAAGAACATACAGTCGAATTGAGAACCTCCTCCTTTTTTGAAGTCGGTTAAAAATAAATATATATTTGTAATTTCCATGAGAAATCAACACCTTCATAACCATTAATAAAAAAAAGTGGGACAAAAACATTCTGCCAATGACAGTTTTCCGTCTATAGTTCCAGAAAAATCAAACTAGAGCACTAAATAAAACACAGAATAAACATAGTACACAACACACACTTATAGAACATAAGTCAATACACGCGTTACTTATGACTTTAGGCATAAATTATTAAATAAAATGTCTGTGTTTATGAATGACATTACAATTCAATATGTCAGCAGCAATTCCGAATTGTGATCACTCACCGCACTTTCTAAACTCTAGCAAGCCCTACAAAGAAAATTATTTTGTTTAATTTAATTAGGCCTCGAAACTCCCAGGCGGAACTTTTCCTTGTGGTCACCCCGTCATACAACCTACTGAAAATTCGATATATTTAAGTCCAGTTACATAGAAAGAGGTTCATAAAATTATTTCAAAATTAAAAAATAAATATTCGCATGGAATTTACTGGAATTAACTTTAACTAGGTGATGTGCAGATGAACTCTCCTTACCTCTAACCAAATTAATCAATCAATCATTTGAAGAAGGTGTTTTCCCAGACTTTACAAAATTTCACTAATAGAACCTACACATAAGAAATATAAAAAACTGACCCATCAAATTGTCGCCCAATTTTATCATTATCCACGTTTTCAAAAATTTTGGAAGAGTGCATGTACGATAGAGTGTATTCGTTCTGCGAAAAATACAACGTATTTGATGACAGCCAAAACGGATTCAGGAAAAATAAGTCGACCACCTTAGCTATTTATATTAATACGTACAAGAAATCTTAAATACTCTAGATAATAAAAAATATGCTGTCGGCATAATATTAGACATGACGAAAGCTTATGATACAGTCCAACATGATATTTTGCTAATCAAATTAAATGGCATCGGCATAAGAGGCATAACACATGAATGGTTTGCATCATATTTAAAAATAGAGTGCAGTTTGTGGAAATTGAACATTATGATAGAGCTGGAAAATAAATAACAACTGTTCAGTCAGATAGAAAAATAATAAACTCGTCAATAACTCAAAACAGTGTAGTTGGATGTCTCCAATTCTTAATTTATGATTTGCCAAAGGTTTTTAATGAACACTGTGTCTTATTCGCAGACGATATTTCACTATAAAACAAATTGTGACAACAGGTCAAATCTATCAGAGAAAGTAACGACTATTATAAATTCAGTTACGACATGCTTGCAAGAACAAAATTTAAAAATTAATTATTCAAAAACGAAAATCATGATCTTTCGTCCCCCACAAAAAAGTCTACTATTTAATTTTAGGTATACAATAGGGTCTAAATTGGATCAGACAATACATCAACAGTACTAAGATTAGATATTAATAAACATGTAAACTGGTAAAAACACGTACAAAAAATCGCTACTAAGATATCTAGATTTATATACGCTCTACGAGAAATAACAAAATCAACAGACCGCTCTATTGCTTTCTCTGTTTACTATGCGTTTGCATTGTTGACTTTAGTGTTGGGTAGGACATAAAATTAAAATGAGTTTGAGGGAGTAACTTATTTG